CAGCAGGCTAAAAGGAGCAGGGATGCTGCCTTCACCTTCTCCAACTGTGGTTTTAACTCTTGTCTCGGCTATTCTGTGATAACTGTGATCATGATTATTACAGCTGAAAGTCTTCACCTTTTGAGGGTTGAATTAATAGTTTAAAGATTATAAAAACTGAATCTTTAATTACATTTACTATCCCCATTCTGCAAAACCAAAAGAAACCTGTGTTTTCCTATCTGCAGGAAACATACTGATTTAATTCCACTCATTAATGATAATGGTTCAAAGAATACTTAAGGAATCTAGTCTGCAGCAGGGTCACTGTGTTTGCAGACTAACTTGGTCAGAGTTATCCTGGCTTCTACTGGAGTCATTGGGCCAAAACCAGAGGGGAGTCACAAGTATCCAGTAGAGACTGAATTGACACGACTGTCAGGTTAAGGTGGAGTCTCAGGGGGATATGCATTGCAGCATCTGAGATTGCTTAAAGGCTAATCCAAAACCTTTTAGACTCCACAGGATTCTTTCCATTCCCTTAAAGAGAATTGCAAGTCTAAATTTTCAATCTTAATGTTGATTAATTTTCATGTAAACCCCAATTCTGCAGTCAGCCATTATTTTTCAGAGGAAGGGTTCCAGCTAGTAAAAAACCCTTTTTGTTCCAGCTATTCACGAGTAATGCCATTTCCTGAACTGATTTCCCATGGATACTGCTGTGAATCACAGACTAAAGAAATCAAAAATTTTGATGTGGGTTTTTGCGAGATAGTTTTATATCTTGCAAGAGAGATGAAAATTTTGCGGGACAAGAATTCATTCTTATTCATTCGTTTTTGGTAAAAGGTAAATACTAATTAGCTGTATATACAAATGCACATACACAAACACAAAATCATGTACACCAGAAGAATATTCTGGTGCTGTTTATCTTATTTATATATGAAAGTGAGAAAAAGTGAAATGCAGAGATGGTTTAGAAAAACCTTTTTAAATACATAGTCACAAATTCGTAATATACGGTATCTAAAACACGGAAACTGAATAGAAAGACTACAAATACAGTGCAAGAAAGTTCTAGAAATAAATGAGAAGTTAAATATAAATCAAACAGACATTTAGTCAACTAGGACTTTTCAGTTGGAAATAAAGTCAAGATGCACAGGGTTTGTTTGTGCCAGGGCAAAGGCTGGCTGCTAGTTCATCTTGTCCACAGAGAATGAAATGATAGGTTGGTGCCTCAAATAAATGACAGGGAAGGACAACTTACAACTCGTCCTGGAAGCATCAATCTTGGATATACATATTATTATGCCAAATTATATTCCTAGTAGGATTAGGTTTGGCTGAAGGACAAGTAGTAGTCTTGGAGTTTCCTACGGCAGAAAAATAAATTTAAGAGATTATTTATTTCCAAAATCAGAATATAATCTCTGAACCAATTAGCTTTTAAAAGAATTCACAAAATGTGGCAAAATTGAGAACTTTATTGCATAATGTTAAGCTTTTCTCAGAAGATCTTTATGTGGTATTTTGAGAGTGAGCAGCATTAATGTGTGGGAGAACAGCAATTCTGGTGTAGGGGTAATTTGCTTCCCTTTGAGTTCTCACTACACGATTGTAGCAGGTTTTTTTGGTTAATAAGCCTGGTAGGCAAGACTACCAATTGTGATGCATTGGGGTTTATTTTAGAGCACTACAGATGTGAAAATTTCAGAACTTCTTTTGTTTCTTTAATTAAATGGGATCATAAGGAAGCCTATAGCTTCCTGTTCATACTTATAGATGTTGACCCTTGAACTATACTGAGGGTCTCCTTTGGGAAGTATTCTTTCAACTCCTTTTAAGCATTTTGAGATCTTGTCATATATCTAAAGTTGAGACCTAGAGTTTTCCTTTATTGTCAAATATTTTCTCACAGCTAAGATAGTTTTTAGGAGTTTTCATCCCCTCTTAATTTAAATAAGAGATTTTGGTTTAATTATGTAGAGGAAGAGCATGAATATTGTAAAGAGAGAATAAATGTTCTTTATTTTTCTTGTGACTGACTTGTACTTTGTCTGTGTGGTGTAGTCAGTTTGAACTTGGACTTATTTTGAGAGCTACAGTAAATTATTTATTAAATGTGTTACTTTGATTGGTGTTGCCTCACATAGCCAGGAGCTGCTGCTTTGCTCAGAAGTTCTGGTAGCAGCAGCCAGTCTAGAAACACTAAATATTTGGAAGGTCTTTCAGTGATTAATGTGTCTTATTGGTGTAAGTAACTAATAGTAAGGATTTATTCCAACTACTTCTGGTAGATAGTAGTAAGGAATAAAGGTAAGTGTACTGGACTTGGATTCTCCTGTCTCTTTACATTGAAGATATAACTTGTGTATATTATATCTGTTCACAATTAGGTATCTTGTAGAAGAAGGTACTTTATTTGATTGATAGATGCCTGGATTAATGGTCTGGATGGCTGAGGGAGGCAGGGGAGCAGGAGGTCTTGCTGGGATTCCAGACAGGGTCTAGGGCATCTCTCATGGGAGCTGAGCTGCTCATCTCCCTGATATGGAGGCTGTCATCTCCTGCTCCTGCATGGCAAACCCTGAGCTACGTGGCTAGTGGGAAGATGCTATGTTTTGTAATTATTCTCTCAAGTCTTCCTGCTGGTATGGCCCCAGGGGGCCTTGTGAGGTTTGCTTCCTCAGCCAAAAATTCTTCCTTCCCCAGACCCACAATACTTCTTTTAAACAGTTCAGTTTTTACACTGTAATAGGATGGAAACCTTTCCCATGGCTTGAATGGATATTTGAGTCATTTTGACCCCCTTCTAGGTTTGGCCTGGGCAAACCTGGGAGGAGAGTCTTGCTGGGCAGCACGGTGAGGGGTGCAGCACGTGGGCTTCTCCTCATGCTGCTGGCCAGGGTGAGGTGTAGAGAACTCAGATGGTGGCTGAATCCTTCAGGCTAACTTGGGCTGTGCCACAGCTTTTTGCTGCTTAGCCTCAGTCAGAGCTTAAAGCTGGGAAAG